TTGGGAGGGTGGAAGGTCAGCACAAGGAAGGAAGAGATGGACTGATTCAGTGATTGGGGTAATAGGAGTAGGTGTGTCAAGAGACAGTGAGTTTGGCACAAGACAGCAGAGTTTAGAGCTCTTGTACATAGGGTCGCTATGAGTCACAAATGACTCGATGGCACATAACAAGTAGACAATGGTAGAAAAGTACTAAGACTGCATTCTATCAAAGTTTGTGGGACTCAAAAAAAAGGCAATATTGTTGAGTTCTGGCTTTTACAGATTTTACTCCAGTGCACGTAGATGAGTATATATATTTGTATAGGTCTATAATATGTCTTATAGTGGAAAGCAGGGGGGAAATACAGGAAGGAAATGGGATAGAACAACAACAAAAACCCCCATCCATTGTGTTGGCATTTAATTGATTCAGGTAGAACTGCTCTATGTAGGGTTCCCAAGGCTGTCAATCTTTGTAGAGGAAGACTGCCATATCTTTCTTCCACAAGAGTGGGCTGGTGAATTTGAACTTCCAGCCACTCAGTAGCTGAGCACTTAACCACTGCAGTATTAAATCTATAAAAAGGATATATTAATGGTATTGCTAGGGAAAAGTCACTGAGAAATAAACTAATTAAAGACCTAAAGGCGTGAGCCATGTAACTGTCTTGGGAGAATAACTTTATAGGCAGAAGCTGTTCTATCCTCAGAACAACAAAGAACTGGTGTGGTTGGAGTAAGGGATAGGTAGAGTAGGTACAAGATGAGATCAGAGGATAGAGAGTTTATTCATAAAATGCCTCATTGGTTATTTTAAAGACTTTGGCTTCTACTTAAAGTGAGAAAGGAATCCACTGCTAGATTGTAATTAAAAATGACATAATGTCACTTTAAAAAGATCACTCACTGCAGTTATATTGAAAATCTTCTTTTAATGATTACAGTAGAATAAAGCAGGAATAAAAGCGATGATAGCTTATACCAAAGTTATGAGAAGTCAGATTCAGGCTGTATTTTGAAAGTAGCATTAACAGGATTTGCTGTTAAGGAATGTAAAAGAAGATTCCAAGGATTTGGGGTTGGTCAAATCAGAGAATGGAGTTGTCATTTAACAGATTGATCTAGATGTTGGAGAAGTAAATTATGGTGAGAATTTCAGGGATTATGTTTTGGAAATGCCTATTAGAATAAGTTTTGACTAGGTAGGTAGCTACATGTTAGAAGTATAGAATTCAGGAAGAAATTTGAGAATTGGCATCATATAAATGGATTTGAAATAATGAAACAAGAGAACCTTGGGAAGTGAGTGTAGATACCAAAAAGAATGACCAAATTAGAACATTCCTCCACCATTTAAAAGTCTGGGAAATGAGGGTAAGTGTCCAACAAGTAGCAGGAAAATAGTAGATGTTAAAGAATTTCTGTCTAGTAGTTATAATTTCTGTCTAGTAATTTGTATCAGATACAGTAGATTGGGCGGGTAAATTAAGGACTGGTCATAAAATTTTGGTTTGCCTGTTGTGGACAGAGTAGTGATGACTCCCAGCTATTTTGATAGAATAATGAGCACACAAGTGCATAGTAGAATATTAATTTTCCCTTTATCCTATCTCTCAATTAATAAACTCCTTTCTGTTTCACTAAGATCGTAGAAGTACTTCTACAACTGCCTGCCCTGATACCCCATCTGTATCTACATAGTCCGTCCGTCCCCCATCCCCCCACCAATTTTACTCTGCAAGAGCCCTCTGGTGCCTACCTGAACTCATTTATGCACTAGAAGACTTTCCCTAAGGGCAGTGTTCCAATAACGCTAACTTCCATATTTCACATCTATTATCCTCTCTCCACTGGCTCATTTTCATCAATTCCACATTTGATTTCTGACTCCTTTTATTTCTTCCATTTAAAGTATAGTTCCTCGAGTTGCCTGTATACTCAGTGCCTCAAATTTCTCTTTACCTATTGCCACTGGAATCCTTTCCAAGATTTAGTGCCCATAGTTAAAAAGACAGTTGCAAGTTCTGTCCCAAAGTACAGTGCTGTGAATGTATACTATCCATATACATACAAGGAAAACTGTTAAACTGTAGGAATAGATATCTCATAATTATTAGTTGACAGATCAACTTGAGAAGATACATAGAAGGTGAGTTGTTTTGTTGGTTTTTTTTTTCTCCCTCTGCTCATTTGCAAATACATTTCTCTAGGTTCAAGAGTTTAACCAGGGTTGTGGTTGAGAATTAAATGACAGTGGAATGCAGGATTATGATAGTTAAATGGTTGACAATGGAATTTTAGGGGACAAGTGGACCTATAAAGGCCTGAGGAATAGTAGCAATATGATAGAGTTAATCAGGAGAAAGGAGCTCTGATGGCATCCTCTTGAGGCTGATTGCTCTACTAACCAAAAGCCCCATCTCTGACAGTTTATATCCACCTCCACCAACAGTTCTGTGAAGGAAAGATGGGCAGCCTCCTCCTCTTGAGATAGCAGCCTCTGAAACATGATGGTGGGTTACTGTAAGTCAGAATTTACTTAGTGACATTGGTGTTTGTTTGTTTGTCTGTTTGTTGTCACTGTCAGGGATGCCTGGTGACTTTGTGCATTATGGTAGTGGTCATTTACATTTTCCTGTAAAGAAATGCAACGTTGGAAACGTGATTTAGGGCCACTGTTATTTAAAATTGACTTGATCACAGTTAGGTTATGTCACCATTGAGTCAGAATCAACTCAGTGCAGTGTGTTTGTTCTGATTGGTTTTAGGTGTATAGGATAAATAGAGGGGAAGGAGATTACTTCCCTCGAATGGAGCTGCTGGTGGATACGAACCAGGTGCCTTTGGGATTACTTTTAGGGTAGAAGAAAAGGAGTAGTAATAATAATAATACGGAGTAGCACTCAGGAGCAAGATCACTCCCCTCTTCAAGTCTATTCGTGTGAAAGACCTGGGAAGTCTACAGGGGGAGACAGTTTTTTGACAAATCATGGTTAGGGTTCATGGTCATCCATAGCAAAAAAGCTAGCAGAATTTCTTTGTAAATAGATGATCTTGACCTATGTCATATTAATCTTGGCTTCAAGTTCTTTCAGTACATATGGAATACACATTAGCATCTTTTGCCTTTATTTACTTAATCATAATTCAAAGAAAATATATTTATTCATTGAGCTCACCATTGCAGATTTTTAAGATCTTATGATCTTAAAGCTGTGTAGTTAACCATACTCTTAATATAAAACTCAGACAATGTTCGTCCTTGTGAGATTGAGTCAGTTCACTCAGCATAATGCTCTCCAGTCTCTCCCAAGTTAGGTAGATAATTTACAAAATCATTGCTCCTGCATGCTGCTGCATAATATTCCACTGTATGAATGTACCACAACTTCTCAATCCATTCGTTTGTGGTTGGACATCTGGACTGTTTCAGTGTTCTTGCAATGGTGAGTATTGCTATTAGGAACATTGGTGTAAAGTTTTGGTTTGAGCCTCATTTCTCATTTTCTTGGGGTATAGTCCAAGTAACGGAATAACTGGGTCATACGGAATTTCTGTGTTCAACTTTTTGAGGAAGCGCCAAACTACCTTTGTACCATTGTACAATCCCATCAGCAATGTAGGGAGAGTTCCTTTCTCACCACATCCTCTCCAGCATTTATTACTTGCTGTCCTGTTAAACTTTGCCTTTCCTACTTGAGTGAGATGGTATCTGATTGTGGTTTTGATTTGTATCTCTCTTATTGCCAGTGATTTTGAGCATTTCTTCATGTGTCTCTGCCATTTGAATATCTTCCTCTGTGAAAATTCTGTATAAAACAAATACTGTATAAAACCAATATTTGAGGATGGGGGCGTGGTTAATCATAAGGTGGCACAATTTGCTGGGGGGTGGGGTGAAGGAAATGGGAAAGATATTTTGTGAAAAACAATGTATTCAAACTTTATAAAGAAATGACAGTAAAATGTTAAAAAAGCTTTTAATGTGGGAATAACATTTACATATTGTTACTTGGTTTCCTCTTAACTTCAGTGTTATTAAAATAAAAATTCATTTTGATCATATCACAAGTTCACAGAAAGTTTTTATATTTTCCATTTGATGACTAGGCCAGTACCAACTTTAATAAGTATTTTTCATTTATTTAGTAAATCATAATTAGATAGATAAGACATTATGTGATACTGAGTTTAGAGAAGATAAACATCTTTATCCTGTGCATTAATTTTCATATCTAGTTTTTCTGTTCTGTTCTCTGTTGGTCTATATTCATACCTCTCAAGTGAAAGGTCTATTGTCCTTTGCCCATTTTCTTTGCCATTCTTCTACTTTTTCTTAATAGCTTTATAATTTGTTTGGCAGATTTATTTGTTATATCAGTATTCTGTTAATCATATATATTAAAAGCATGTATGTTAAATTTTACTTCCCCAAACTTACCAGATTATTGTTTATATTCTTTTGTTGTTAAGTTTTTTCAGTATTATTTACATAGTTGTGTCACCTGCATATAATGGTCAGTTATATCCTCCTATCTAACTTTGTTTAAAAAAAAAAAAACAAACCAACAACTGGTGGCAGCTTGGTAGTTCAAATCTACCACGTGTTCTGAGGGAGAAAAGTGGCCCCAAAAACCTGATGGAACTCCCGCAGGAGTCAAGTTGGAACCAACTTGAAAGCAGTGGATTGGGTTCATCTGTGCCTGGTGATACACGGAATTAAGGTTTGAGTTGCTAACTGAAATGCTGGGAGTTGCAGTCCACCAGCTGTTCTGTAGGGAAAAGATGAATCCCATCTCTTCCATATATTCACAGTCTTAGGAACCTGTGGGACAGTCTTACTCTGTCCTCTAGGGTCACTAGGAGTCAGAATCTTCTACAGCATTGGAAGTGGTTTGGTTTTGGAGTATATAACTTTATACTTCCAAACTATTTCTCTTATTCAGTTATATTAAATTTGTTACAACTTTTAATTTTTTTGTGACAGAAATCCTGGATATTCTTGATTTCATACAATTATGGCAGACAAATTAACAAGAATTGCTATTGTCAACCATGACAAATGTAAACCTAAGAAATGTCGACAGGAATGCAAAAAGAGTTGCCCTGTAGTTCGAATGGGTAAGTTATTCTATGGACCAATTAAGATAAAAGAGTGTTAAGTAAATGTCTTGATAGAGCTCTCTGGACTTTAGCATGAGTTATGTTTTACTCCTTAGTTTCTTTAACATACAAAGAGAAGAAAATTACTTTTTTGTACCAGTTTTCTTTTATTGGTTTATGGTTAAATGATCCTGTTTTGTTTTGGGAGTTTTTTTCCCTAGAAAAACTATTTTGGAATAGTATGTTACTATTTCAAGTTAATTGACGTTAAACCAGTACTTAGGTTACTTAGATTCTTCCTTGGCTATCTAGTTCTGTGGGGAAGGGACTACTTTATCTTTGATAGTATTCTCATCTGTTAAAACAAGAATAAAAAACTTAATAGCAATTACTGTGAGTTTTTAGTATATTTTCAAGATTAAATTATAACAGTTAGGTGGGGAGGAACATAGCATAGCTACCGATGTAGCTGAGATTTCATTCTGTATATCATTTTATATTTTATTCCATTATTATTATTTCTAAGACATGCAGTATTTTTCATACTCATACATAGGAAACTGACAAGGAGGGTTGTCTAACTTGCAAATTAACCATATAACTACAACACTCTTGTTTTTACTAGCATCATTTCTTTTACAGTAGTTAGTTGAATTCTTACTACTGGACTGATAGAGAAAAGGTTGAAACTGTCAATGACTTCATCTTACTTGGATCCACAAGCAGTGTACTTAGTCTTAGCAATCAGGAGACATACTGCACTGGGAAAGTTTGTAGTCAGGAACCTCTCCAAATTAAGGAGCAATGATATCCATTTGAGGACTGAGGTGCACCTGATTCGGGCTATGGTCTTTTCAGTCATTTGCTTTGCATCTGAGAGTTGGACATTAACTAAGGATGGCCGAAGAAGAGTTGATGCCTTTGAACTGTGGTGTTTGAAAAAAAGAATGATGAATATCCTATAGATTGCCAAAAGAACAAGAAGATATGTTTTGGGAAAGGTGCAGCCAGAGTGCTCCTTGGAGGCAAGGATCACAAAGCAGTCTAAAAAGCTTTACACATGTTGCTCAGATCATGGTTGGAAAGGTGAAGTGATGTCAGAGGAAGACGCTCAACCAGGTGGATTAACACAATGACTGCAGCTGTGGGCTCCAAGTGTGTCAGAGATTATTCAGATAGCACAGAATAGGACAGAGTTCAGATCTGTTCATGGGGCACTGTGTACCTAAATAGCATTATTCAGAAAATTAGATCAGGAAAATGACTTAATTCTGTCTTTCTTTTACCAGGAAAATTATGTATAGAGGTGACACCTCAGAGCAAAATTGCCTGGATTTCTGAAACTCTTTGTATTGGTTGCGGTATTTGTATTAAGGTGAGTAATACTGTTTTGGTAGTTCTCATGGCTGAGGAATTGTGCTGTCAAAAGCAAACAGTTTGAATCCATCAGCTGCTCTTTGGGGAAAGTTGAGCGGTCAACTCTTGTGTAATATACTGCCTCTGAAAACCCACGAGAGGATCAACTATAAATCAACCCCAGCTTGACAGTACATAACAATACTGTTCTGGTGGCATGGTCTATAGAGAGTTCTCCTGGTAACCCAAAGGCTATGCTCCCACTCGTGGCTCTGAAAGAGAAAGATGGTCAGTCTCCTGTGTGATTTACAGTCACAGAAACCAAAGTTAAGAGTTAGTTCTGACTCCACAGCAGTGAGAATGGGAAAATAATGTTTTATTCATCAGAACAAATTTGTAACCTAATTGTGATAACGAGATATATAATAATGAATTGTTAAAGAACTACGTGTAATACTAAGAATGTGAATTTTGGAAAATGGTATCCTTGACCATGACTGGATATTACTGCTTTTCTAGTAAGTTAAACCGTCTTATTTTAAAATTGTCCTTGTCATACTCAACTTTGTAAAATCCAGTTTCCAGACCCCCTTAGAAAGACATATTCCAACATAACTTTCTGTTTGTTTTCTCTTTTTATTACTGTTTTTCCACCATATCTTTACAGAACGTTTTTGGAAATCGTTGAAAAAATATACCTAACTCAGTCATATTACTTGTAACAGCCTTTATTTTAAATCTTTTACATATTTTAAGTGTATGTTTTTTTAAATACAAATAAACAAAACCAAGTAAATTTACCTGTAACCTGATCCTTTGTACCTAAACGGTTATGAATTCTATTTTTTTAATATTGTTTATGATCCCAACAGAGTAATTTTTAACAATATCTCACTTTTTGTTGTGTTGGATATTTTCTTTAGAACTTTTGACTTATGAATAACGCATTTCAACCTTTAGTTCATAAAGAAAAGTTACAAAACCATCTATTAAAAAAGTTCATAATTTGGAAATTTTTATTTTATTTGTAGACAAGCAGTAAATTACAAAAAGGAGCTTCACCAAAGCATAGATATCATTCTATTGATTATCCACATAAGTCTCATATATATTGTATGCTGGTTCTGGTTAACCATATAGAAAGTTTTATCGATACCTGAAAACATTGTCCCTTGTTCTGAAATTATAAATAGGAATCTTTCCTTCCAGCATTTATTTCTTTATTGTTCTTGAAGGTGAAAATTTTATTTTGAACTATCTGTTCTATATTATTTCTTTGTTGTTATGGAAAAAATGATATTTCAGCGCTTTAAATATATACTATTATTCTGTACCAGGGGATCGGAGCAGACCCTCCAGCTTTTCAAAGGCAGTAAATCGCATGGGAGGAGATTGCACATCTTTCTCCTGTGGAGCAATGATGGATTCAAACTGTGTACCTTTGCAGGACGTCTTCAAATATCTGAAAAGAAAATAATTGTGGCACCTAGGAGATAATATATATTTCTTGAACCCCAAAATATTTTAATACACCTCATATCTTGACAGTATATGCAGGGGAGTTTTTCTTACAGATTGTACTTGGAGCCTGTAAACATTGTAGAAACATTGATGGGGGGATTGTGTACCAAGGCATAAAATAGAATTCGTTTACAGAATTGATAGTTAGAGTTGGAGAGTGATTTTATTTATTTAAAGTTTACTGAACTGGTTAAACTGGGCCGCTCCTTGGAGGCAAGGATTCTGAGGCTCCATCTAACATACTTTGGACCTGTTGTAAGGAGGGACCAGTCCTTGGAGAGGGACATCATGCTTGGGGGAGGGTAGAGGGACACCTAGGAGGAGAAGGCCCTCTATGAGGTGGATTGATTCAGTGACTTGGGTAATCAGGATGGCTGTATCGGAGACAGTGTGATTGGCACAGGACAGAGCAGAGTTTAGTGTCGTTGTACATAGGGTCGCTATGAGTTGCAAGCAGCTCAATGGCACATAACAACAACAAAGTTTACTGAAATATTTATGTGTACAGACTTTTTACTTGAAACCAGAAACACCCATTCAGCAGTTCTGCAGCAGACCTCTAATTTAAAGTTATATTTTTTATATGTACACTATAGTCATGCATACTTGTGAAACTTTCTAGCCACATTGTTGTATACTATCAAGCAGATTCTAATTCATAACCTTATAGAGCCAAAAAGCCCCACAGTCTGTAATTTTAGAAGAACAGGGTAGAAAAGGAACCATATAAGAAGATGAATAAAAGGAAGCAGCAAAGGTCAAGTGTCTATTATAGACTGCATGTGGAATCATATACTCAGTAACTAGTAAGTTCAAGAAAATTATGTGAAACAGTATCACATCTTTTTTGAAACAGACTTTTTTGGAAGACTACTTATAAAGAACTTTTTAATCTATCCAATTTAGTATTCTGTATATTTCTCCAAATTAATACAAAATTAATTCTTTATTTTAAATAACAGAAATGCCCCTTTGGCGCCCTATCAATTGTCAATTTACCAAGCAATTTGGAAAAAGAAACCACACATCGATATTGTGCCAATGCCTTCAAACTTCACAGGTATATTTTCAAGTCAACATTTTGCTTTATTTCAATCAGCATTAAGAGTAAAATATATTTGGAATTTTCAAAGAGAAGGAACAATGGGGGGGGGATTATATTAAACTACCCAATAAAGAGTATACTGTGATAGCATCATGCTGAATCATGTGTATGTCAATAGTTTCTTCAGGTTAACATTAGAATTACCTGATAGAATTCTTAACACTATTAACATATAAAAATTGTATGAATTTTCTAAGAATTTTTAGATTGTAGAATCTAGATCTCTAAGTTTCTGAAGCTCCTAGATGTGATACCAGTGTACAACCAGAGTTAATATTTCCTGATACATTGTAGTAGTACATTATTCCCCAAAATACTTTTAAGAGAATTTGTGTTTGATTTTGTTAATCTTATGGTCTGTAGAAACTGTTCCTCTAAACATGCAGCATACATTAATAAATCACAACCAAATTCCTTAAATCTTAGAGGTTTACCTGTTCAACACTAATAGTTTGGGAGTCTGGTTTTAACTAATATAAAGATATTTTTCAACCTGCCAGCTGTAAGGGGCCTACTGCAACAGGGAGAAGGATTATTTCTGGTTGATGAGGTACTTCTTTTCTTGTAAGTAAATAGCAAGCTGGCGGGAGGAAAAGATAGAGTGAGGTTGCATTGTTGTGTACTTTTCTACAGAGCATTTTGTGACTAAGCCTTATGGTAGAAGAAATGTTACTCTGCCATGGAAATGGGGAAAAAACAGAATTTGAAGTAATGTTAGTTTTGGATGCATTTCTAACAATTAACGGTTTAATTTTGGCTACTTTTTTCCCTAATAGCCCATAATGTCTGACATATATCTCTTCGTTTATTAATATATGTGAATGGGCTGCAAATGTATTAAAAGGCAGTCTGTTATTACTTTTTTTTAAATTTATGTTTTAATTATTATTTTTGGATATAGATTGCCTATTCCTCGACCAGGTGAAGTTTTGGGACTAGTTGGAACTAATGGTATTGGAAAGTCAACTGCTTTAAAAATTTTAGCAGGAAAGCAGAAACCAAACCTTGGAAAGTATGATGTATGTATACCATCTTAAAATTTTTTATTAGTTTTGGGAATGAATCTTTGGAAACTGTTATTTCGTGTGCTAATGTTCTTAGATTTTTATGATTTGTGGAATTAATGCTGAGAAATTATTAAGCTATTTTTTAAATTAAAATCTATTAATCAGATAACGTTAATATTCCATAAACTGTTAATAAACCTTCATTTAAAAAGAAATCCATTTCCAAACTTAAAAGGTTAAATTAAAAGCCAAAATTATTCTGTATTTTGATAATAAAAAATAGCATATAACGAATGACTGGAAACTCTTAAGTCTGTAAACTTTCATTAAAATTCATTTTTAGAAAGAAAAGAAAAAATAGCATATTAAACCCTTAAGTAAGAAAATATCTTTGTTATTATACTAGATTCTATTTTTATAACTCTCAGGGTTTTTTGTAATGATATCTAAATTCCTATCATTGCATGTTCTTTGTAGGATCCACCTGATTGGCAAGAAATTTTGACTTACTTCCGAGGGTCCGAATTGCAAAATTACTTTACTAAGATTCTAGAAGATGACTTGAAAGCCATCATCAAACCTCAGTATGTGGACCAGATTCCCAAGGCTGCAAAAGTCAGTTTTGTGTAAACTCTTAAATAGTAAAGAAAATTTTTGTGTAAACTTAAATAGTAAAGAAAAATAGTGGTAACTTATTTCATATATATCATGACAGGGGACAGTGGGATCTATTTTGGACCGAAAAGATGAAACAAAGACACAGGCAATTGTATGTCAGCAGCTTGGTAAGTATGTATATAATTTTGTGTATGTGTTTCTGTATATCTTGAACTTAAGTTTAAAGGTATCTATATAGATGACTGAAATAAACTTGAAAATTCCTAATAATTGTCATATATAACTGTTACTTGGTTCTCAGTTAAAATCCATTTTTATCAGTGATAGGAAATAACATGCTGTATACATTTTGCCTGGAAGGGGTAAAATAAAAGTTATAATATTGAGCATGATGCCTCTCTATTCTTTGTAGATTTAACCCATCTAAAAGAACGAAATGTTGAAGATCTTTCGGGAGGAGAGTTGCAGAGATTTGCGTGTGCTGTTGTTTGCATACAGAAAGCTGATATGTAGGTTACTTACAGCCCTTTTCTATATCTTAATCCTCATTTTAGAGTTTTTCTTTCTAATTGTGCTATATATCAGTGGCTTTGCACTAATTTTAAAGTGAGCTATTGAAGTATATGTTATCCACCTCCCATTCTCCTTGATGTTATTCCTACGAGGGAAGAGAAACTCTTTTTAGATAATTTATAATCTAGGAATTGGCAGTGAGTTAGTTTGGGTTTTCTTTGGGTTTTGTTTTGCATGGAAAAAGCCTGTTTTAAAGCACTCCATCTAGGCCAGGAAGAATTTTTAAATGCCCTCAGTAAAACAAATCTAAAACCTTGTAGACATTGTGTTATGTAAGGGGGGAAGATGGAAGTGAAAAAAAGCAAGGTTCTTATCTCTTCTTCCAGATATTTTTTACTTCATCTTTTTCTACATTTCTACTCTGGCATCCAGAGCAAGCTCATTCTATTTATTACACAATGTATTTTGTGAATTCTGTGCCATTCTCCTTTAAAAGTCTCCATTTGCCTTATAATGCACTTGCCTAGCTAATTAAAAGAAAAAATTCCCTGAACTTCAATCTGTAGTTCCTAGAGAAAAATATTGTTACATTTTTCTTGAAGAAGCTGCCAATTAGGTTTTTTGGATTATTTTTTTCCATTATGAGGTGAACTTTTCATTTGTGTATCAGGATTTTTGTTGTTTAACCAAAGAGTATGCATTATAGTCTTAAAATAGCATAAGATGTAATTGGATCATATTTATTAAATGTGTTACTTTTTCTTTTTTCATACAGTTTTATGTTTGATGAACCTTCTAGTTATCTAGATGTTAAACAGCGTTTAAAGGCTGCTATTACTATACGATCCCTAATAAACCCAGATAGGTAAGTATAGATATGTAATATATTCTTGTGGTGGTTTGTATGAGGAATGTTACAGATCTCTGAAAAGTAGAACCAAAAATAGCATGTACTTGTTTTCCCTTTTCATTTTAGATAACCTCCTACAATTTATCTTTTCCTGGAACCAGAGGTTCTTAGTGCAAGATTCATTTATTATCACCTATTTCTGAAACACCTAGGATACTCTGACATTATATGCATACTTTGGCATAGATGTGTAACTTTCTGGGAAGCAGTTCTGTAGCTTTCACCTTAATTTTCAAATGAAGATATGACAAACACTACAAAAAGAAAAAAATTTATTTAGACATTTAAGACACACCAGAGTCTATTTGTTCATGGTCTTGACAAGGAGAAAAATCTTTTCTTTCTTTTTTTTTAGATAATTCTTTTTTTTTAATTATTTTAATAATTTTAATGAACATTTACAGAGATTTCCATTCATTCATTGCTGCACTTCTCTCCCCGCCCAGCTCTCCCGAGCCTCCGCGCGCCCCTCCCCTTCACTCTTCTCTGAAAAGTAAAAGAAAAACTCCCTCCCTGGTACACTATCCCCCCACACCCCTCTCACCATCCCAAGTACATTCCACTATGCAACCTTAATTGTGGACTCTTGTGATTTTTTTTTGTTAGATAATTCTTAGTAACCTTTATTATGTTATCACAGCCCCCTAAATTTATATGATGCTTCTGTAGTTGACAAGGAGTCCTGATAGTGTGCAGTGATGGTTACACTGCTAACAGGTTAGTGGTCCAGACCCACTAGCAACTACCTGAGAAATACGACAGTCTCTTCTGTAAAGATTTAATAGTCTCCAAAACCCAATGGAAGATCACTATGAATTGGTCTCAATGTAATGGCATTGAGTTTTGTGTTTGGTTTAGAGTTTGGAGTTACTAAATGCATTGTTTCATTTGATCCTACTGATAACTTTTTAGAATCAGTAGGTAATGTGTTTTGTACTATTGAGTCAGTACTTATAGTCATAACTGACCTTCCTGCAGATTTTTTCAGTGGCTTTAAATTGCACAGGAGAAGATTGCCCATCTTTCTCCCATGGAGCAATTGGTGGAGTCAGATCATATGCCTTTGGGTTGGCAGTGGAACTTCTTACCGCTCCTAGGCCACAAATATGGAGACTGTGCAGCCAGGGTGCTCCTTGAAGGAGAGGATGAAGAAACTACATCTCACATGCTTTGGGCATGTCACTAGGAAGAATGAGTCCTTGGTAAAGGACATCATGCTTAGAAAAGTAGAGGGTCATAAAACAAACTAGTAAAGTGTAAAAACTGCCTAGATTGGAACATAGTATTAAGAGGGATCAAAGAATTTCAAATGGAAAACTACTCTGGAGAGAATCTCCTTAATTATGGGAAATGAAAGTCATAGGAAAAAGAAAGCCATAGGTATTATTTATCTTTACATATCTTCTGTCACCTTGGTCTTTTTCATTATTCTTTTATGTCCAGTTCCTATCTTCCCCAGCTAAATTCAGGTTAAAGATTCTGTCCTTTTTCTTTGCATTCTCTAGAATTACTAGCATGGCAGTAGAAAATTAAAAGATTTTTTATTTCAGTTTAATAAATATAAACTGTGGTTTACAGAGTTGAATACATTTATTTTGTTGTTGTTGTTATGTGTCATTGAGTCACGACCCTGTGTACTACTGCAGCGTGAGATAGAGCTTCAAAATCCTAGCCCCCAAGGAGAAACTTGGTCTCACCCTTTCTAAGACAGACCTATTTGTTTTCTTGGCAGCCTGTGGTATGTTCAAGACTCTTCTCCAGCACCACAATTCAAAAGCTTCAATTTGTTTTTGTCATCCTAGTGTATGCAAAATTGTTTAACTTTTTTCCCTGTTGAGGAAAGTAATTTTAATTATAAACATTGATTATGAGCTTTAATCAAAGAAAATTTAATTAATATGATTTTTATATTTTATTAATATGTATTTCTTTTCCTGACATTCGTAACAGTAGTAAAAAACAAATGTGTTTCAGTCAATTTGATATGTCATGTCACACTTGAAAATATAAAAATCTCTTTTGATTTCCAGATATATCATTGTGGTGGAACACGATCTAAGTGTATTAGACTATCTCTCTGACTTCATCTGCTGTTTATACGGTGTACCAAGTGCTTATGGTGTTGTCACTATGCCTTTTAGTGTAAGAGAAGGTAACTTAAACTGTTTACACGTATGTTACATTTTCCTCCATTGTCATGTTTACAATATGTATTATGGTGGCGAAAGAGGAGTAGAGGCAGATTCTTACATGGTTTGAATATGCTGTTTCCATAACATACCCATTTCAGAGAACATAAGGTGGACCTTGGGTATTGCATACTTAATTTACTGCAGTAAATAAAAGCTTTCTGTATTGAGAAAATTAAAGTTTGAGCACATAAATTGCAATAGGAAAGTAACGACAGACTATGGTTTTGAGCAAAGTCTTTTCATTCTCTTCTTTAACTGAATAGACACTTAAAATAAGTGTCTGAGGAGCTCTGGTGGCCTAGTGGCAAAAAGTTGCATGGTTCGAATCCACCAGATTCTCATGTGACAGTCTGATCCAACTCAATGGTAACAACAAGGAAAAAAAATAAGTGTCTATAGAATTTCCTTAGCATCTTATATGATGATGATTTCCTTGCTAAAGAAAAATTTAATCTTTAATTCATATTTATAGATCTATTGACAGTGGCTTTCTTTTCAACAGGCATAAACATTTTCTTAGATGGCTATGTTCCAACAGAAAACTTGAGATTCAGAGATGCGTCACTTGTTTTTAAAGTGGCTGAGACGGCAAATGAAGAAGAAGTTAAAAAGATGTGTATGTATAAATATCCAGGAATGAAGAAAAAGATGGGAGAGTTTGAGTTAGCAATTGTAGCTGGAGAATTCACAGATTCTGAAATCATGGTGATGCTTGGAGAAAATGGTACGCTTCTCTACTTGGAGATATTTTTAATTGTATTTAACCACTTGCTCAATTTTAACTATTCCATAAATTACTCATTTTGAGAGCTAGGAACTGGATTGAATTCATACATTTACAGTTTTGGACAGTGTATTATGTAATCTCACTGATAAAGTTCAAGTTTGTATTTTTTTTATAACCTTCAAGTGAAAGTTAAAAAGTATTATTAAAACTAAGGTAAAGTAACAACAGTTGGTTTGGTTTTTCCTGAGCTAATCTTTGAAAGACATTCTTCTGGTACTCCCTGCTTTCAGCCAAGATCCATCTAACATTAGCTACAATGTCCCTAGTACCACGACCCCTTCTAAACCCAGCCTGGACTTCCGGCAATTCTCTGCTGATGTGCTGTTCCAGTCGTTTTTGGATGATCTTCAGTAGAATCTTGCTTGCATATGAAATCAATGATACTGTTCTGTAGTTTCCACACTCTGTTGAATCACCTTTCTTTGGGATGGGAACAAATAGAGATCTCTTCTAGTCAGTTGGCCAAGTGGTGGTTCTCCAGATTTCTTGGCACAGCGTGTTCACAGCTTTAGTTTGCTTGGCTTCACAGTCAACACTCTTGGCAACAGCAGCCAGGAAATTAAAAGACATGCTGTGATGGGAAAGTCTGCTGTTAGGGACCTCTCCAAAGTACTGAAGAGCAATGGTGTCTCTCTGGAGACTAAGATGCATTTGATACAGGCCATGGTGTTTGCAATCACTTGTTATCTGTTAGAAAGTTGGACAGTGACTAGGGAGGATAGAAGGAGAATTGATGCCTTTGAGCTGTGGTGCTGGAGAAGAGTATTGAGGGTACCATGGATTGCTAAGAAGACAAAAGGCGGCTCTTTGGAGGCAAGGATTCTGAGGCTTCGTCTAACATACTTTGGACATGTTATGAGGAGGGACCGGTCCTTGGAGAGGGTCGTCATGCTTGGGAGGGTGGAGGGACAGCACAGGAGGGGAAGAGCCTCTGTGAGGTGTATTGATTCAGTGACTGAGGTAATCAGGATGGGTGTGTCAGAGGCAGTGCGATTGGCACAGGATAGAGCAGAGTTTAGGGCTGTTGTACATAGAATCGCTATGAGTCGCAAGAGACTTGATGGCACATAACAACAACTTTGTAACTAGCTGTATTGCCATGATTTTTTTATATTGGGTTGCTATCATAAACAACAACATCATAAATATAGGTGGGAGATAAATTTAACCATCAGGTTTATGATGTTACTTTCATGATTTGAGATTGCAGTGCATTTTCTTACCACTAGGTAACCAGAATTCCCTTCCTTACTTTCGTGATTTAAAAGAGTAGATTTTAATTGTAAACTTTTGTTTTTATTGTGTACCATTGAGTTGCCTGCAACTCATAGTGACCCTGTGTACAATAGCTCTGAACCAGTCTCACTGTCTCTGACAAACCCACTCCATTTCCCCAGTTACTGTGTCAATCCATCTCATCTGGGGTCTTCCTCTCCTGTGATGTCCATCCACCCCTTCTGCCTGTATGCCTAAAATATGTGAGATGGAGTTTCAGAATCCTCACATCCATGGAGGAGCCTGGTTTTTTCACCTTCTCCATGATAATCCTATATATTCTCTTGGCAGTCCGTGGTAAATTCAGTACTCTTCTCTAGCACCACAGCTCAAAGGCATCAATTCTTCCTTCTGTCAACTCTGGCCATTGTCCAGCTCTCTGATGCATAGCAAGTAATGGTGAAGACTGTAGCTTGAATCAGGCAGACCTTACTGTCCAAACTGAAACTACTGTAAAAAAAAAATTTATAACTTAATGTCATGAAGCTCTAGTAGCATAATAATGTGTTGTGCTGGTAACTGAAAGACTGCTAGTCTCCAGCTATTCAGATATAACAACTCTAAGAGAAAAATGAATGAGTCACTGTGAGTCACAGCCATTTCAATAGCAGTGAAAGATCGTGAAGTTTAAAACTGACTCAACATAGGTCATATCTTACAGACTAGATCCATCATATTAAGATGATTATTCTCCTCGTTATATTTCTCCTCATTAATTTAGTTGGATTCTTGAGAGTTAAACAAAGATGATAACTTCCTGTATAAGCGAAGTGGTTTTCACGTCTATGTGTTGTATATTGTGTTGCCAGGTACCGGTAAAACAACATTTATCAGAATGCTTGCTGGAAGACTTAAACCTGATGAAGGAGGTACTTTTTTTTGTTTAATCTTTTTGCTCTGTTCTACATAAATGTTAAAATTCTTGGCAGTTTTCAGCATCTTATTTAATTGCATTACTTTACAGGAGAAGTACCAGTTCTAAATGTCAGTTATAAGCCACAGAAGATCAGTCCCAAATCAACTGTGAGTTGTTATTCTGTTATTTAGTGATTAAAGAAAAAAATTTTACATGTACCTACCTGTTTGATCTTTTATTATATCAGAGAGCTCTGATATAATAAATACTGGTGGTATAGTCCATAGGGAATTGCACTATTAATGCAAGGCCACTTCTCTGATGGTTCAAATCAACAGTGGCTCCACAAGAGAAAGATGGGTCCTGTGTAATTTATATTCTCTGAAAGGGTCAGCTATGAATTGGTTCTGAATTTGTAGCAGTGAGAGTTTGGGATTTTGTTTTTCCACTTTACTGTAGTCTTAATTTTCACAGAAGCAACTGTGAGTATGAGCCCTGTGACTCTCGATTCATATCCATTACTAACGGGAATGCTTTTAAAATCTAAGTGTTATCCTTTTCCAAAGCAAACCTTTCCTAAAATTTGGCATTACTACTACAAATAGTGTTATCAAGAAAATGTAAGAGCAAAACCTATGAGTACCAGAACTTGAGTAGCCTAACCACTCTTCTCCCTGTTTCTTTGTCAGTGGAAAATACTTGAGTTTTCCTTTTCTGACTTTTTTTTACTTTATACAAATTCTCACTATTAAGGGGTTTGTTCTATTTAATAAAGGACTTATTTCCAGAATTATATAAAGAATTCCTGCAACTCCATTTAAAACTGGAAGAGCTTGAATAAACTTTTTTCCCCAAAGATACATACATAAATGGCAAAAAAAATACATGAAAAGATATTCGACATCATTAATAATTAGAGAAATACAAATCAAAACTACAGTGGTTACTATTTCAACACCAGCTGTGGTGGTGGTGGTGTTATGTGCTATTGAGTCAGAATCAACTCCTAACAGTGAGTTTTCAGAAGCTGTAAGTCACTCACGAGGAAATTGCACATCTTTTTCCCACAAAACAGCTGGTAGACTCAAAACATGTACCTTTGGGTTGTCCTTACCACTAGGCCACCAGAACTCAAAAAAGCATGCTTTAGAATTAAAGCATTGCTAGTGGGCCTTGCAGAAACTTAGCTACATATCACGTATTGAGGTTATTGTTGTGTGCCGTTGAGTGGAAAGTGATTCACAGCTGACCTTCTTGCAGGTTTTGAGAAGCTTTAAATCACATAGGAGTAGACTGCCTGTATTTCTTTAGCTAGGCAGCTGGTAAAAAATTGCCTGCCTTTTGGTCAATACTGCATTTCCTTACCACTAGGCCACCAGTTGGAGGCCAAATTGCCACTAGGATGAGTGAATATAAAATGAGAGCACCACTTTGGAATACAGTCTGACAGTTCTTCATATAAGCACAGAGTTACCTTATGAACTAGCAATTCTACTCCTAGTTATATACCTCAAAGAAAAGAAGATATATCTAAACTCAAAACCATGTACACAAATATTTATAGCTTTGTTATTCATAATGGTCAAAAGTTTAAAAATCCCATTGTCCTTCAACTGATGAAATTTTTTTTAGTGTTTATCAGATTAAAAAAATACTATTTAGTCATAAAAAGATAAATTGATACCTGCTACAATATGGATGGACCTTGAAAACATAAGGATAAACTGCTTTGAATCCTACAAATGTTGGGATGAATCGATCTAGAATATTATATATTTGGTTTTTGGCTTAGTTTTTAATAAGTTATCTTTGATACTTTCTCAACATTTTGTTTTCAAACTCAGCCATCTCCTGAGTAACAAGCAAAAGGCAACTTTGGATTTCATCCCTAGCACTTAAACCCTGCATTTTTTTGCTACTGATTGTATCAATTTGCTTGATTCCCACCATGGCCTTCAGAATCATTCCTACTTTATAATGATTTACCCCTGAAGTACTCTTCATTTTCTTACCACTCTCAAATTTTTTGAGATTCTGTTTTATATGTGGTGGATATGATGATATGTCTGTATTATTTATTTTTTTATGTACTTTGAAAAAAAAATTGTTTTACTCCTCTCTCCCTTAATATAGTCTTAATAGAAACATCTCAGAATATGCCAAAGAAAGCTTCATATCTGATAGTATAAAAATACTACTAGATAAATATTTGCTTTAGAGTTTTAAGTTTTATTAAGATCCATGTGTAAAAGTTATATGCTGAAATTTTATCATGTACATGTTTTTCATAAAAATAGGGAAGTGTTCGCCAGTTACTACATGAAAAAATAAGAGATGCTTACACTCATCCACAATTTGTGACTGATGTAATGAAGCCTCTACAAATTGAAAACATCATTGATCAAGAGGTATTGTAAAGTAATTATTTTACTTTTTATGCTTTGGTGTTTCCATCTAACTCACTAAACTTCTTCACATAGGTACAGACATTATCTGGTGGTGAACTGCAGCGAGTAGCTTTAGCTTTGTGTTTGGGCAAACCTGCTGATGTCTACTTAATTGATGAACCATCTGCATATTTGGATTCAGAGCAAAGATTGATGGCAGCGAGAGTTGTCAAACGGTAAATATCTTGCCCAGAAAAATATTACTTTGAGTATAAGTGTTAGCATAATGTATGTTTAATACGCCATTTGAATGTTTTATGATAAACTATTTTTAAAAATTTCTATCTTCCATTAGCTTCATACTTCATGCCAAAAAGACAGCCTTTGTGGTGGAACATGACTTCATCATGGCTACTTATCTAGCAGATCGGGTCATTGTTTTTGACGGCATTCCATCCAAGAACACAGTTGCAAATAG